GCTACAGCTATCCAAAGTACTGATGCTGGAGAGGCAATTAGAGGGTTTGAAAAGTGGATAGCTTTGAATGGGCCAATTAAGGTGTTGGTGACGGACAATGGTTCAACATATCGAAATACACAAGTAAAACTGTGGTGTGAGTCACAGGGAATTGAACATAAGTTTTCTACACCTTATCGACATGAAGCTATGGGGATTGTGGAGCGCTGTAACCGTACAGTAGTGCAGCAGTTGAGGAAGAAAGTGAAGCTTCATGGAACGCCTTGGCCGGAGGAGCTGGATGAGGTGGTGAGGAGCATCAACCGAACGGTACACAGCACTACAAAACGAACTCCAAGGGAGCTTTGGGAGGCAGGTTCTGAGGTGCTTCTGGAAGCAAAAGCTCTCACTGATGAAGCAAGAGAGAAGGTGAACCGGAGGCAGCGTGTATTTCCAGAGAAACTTGAAGTTGGTGATGTGGTGCTGATGTATGATCATGGGAGAGTCAAGAAGAAACGACACAAGCTTCTTCCAAAGTGGATGGGACCGTATGTGCTTGAAGAGAAGCTGCCAGGAGGGACATGGAAGCTGCGAACATGGTCTGAAGGGAAGAAAGGTCGTCACATTCTGGTTGCACATGAGGGCTACCTGCAGCTATTTGATGACAAGGACTTCGTTTGGTAAGCATTGATGATAGTTTAGGGAGTACATCTTGGGGTGGCCCTGAGTGATTGCATTTCTTTCGGAGTTTTTGCACAGTGGATAGGCGTGGGAGTGCCCATGTTCGGCACACTGCAAAATGGCAAACAATATAAGCCATCTTTGCAAAAATTAGAAACAAAATGAGCTGTGTATGGTACACAATGAGAAGCAATGATTTGACAGCTCAAGAAGAAAAAAACAAAGTGCAGCATGAAGGAAAAACATGTGCATCCCGTTTTCAACTTGGGAGACATGTCCAAAACATGTTTATTCACTCAGGGCCAATAGTTTAGTATTAGTACAAGTGGAAAGCAAGGAAAAGGGCGGAAAACACAGCTGCTGTGTGGTGGCAACCCGCAGCACATGTTCGAACCGTGTGGTGACCGTGTTACACCACTAACCATGCCGCGGACCATACACCGGGTACCCCGGGGTCTGCTGTGTGACCGAGAGGGGGTACCCCAGAGACCGTTGTGTGACCGGAAAGCGTGACCACCTGGCCCGCTGGCTGTGGTCCTTCCGTGCTGCAGCATGGCCGCGTGACGCAAACTACACGCCCACTATCCGGCTGCCCGAGAAGCCAACCGAATGGCGACCAAAACGAACGAAGGCACGCTCCCCTTGGAGTGGTGGCACAGCACCCTCCGTGTCGAGGTGGCAAAGGCGGGCGCAGCCCTCGCACTCTTCAACACCGGCCTTTCGCATGAAGGCGGCTGGAATTGGAGGGTGCTCGCCATCCTCCATCGGAAGGCGCTGCGGATTGCAACGGCGAAGGAGCAAATGGCGGGCCAGTTGGGAGGCCAAACGGTGGAGAGAAACGGGGCGAAGGAGGCAAGACTGGAACGGAAGACGCGCAGCCCAGAATGTGGGCATGTGGTGGTGCGGATTGAAGCCACCAACCCGTCCGATCTCAAGGATCGGACCGTGCGCTGCGATGGGACACGATCTCCGCCGGCGACCGAGCAGTTTGGTGCCCCCTCGGCGGAGGTTCTTGCTGCCGGTTTGAATGGGGAAGAGTGCCTTGAGGCGGACGCGGGGGGTGGCGCGGAGTGGAAGCGGTCGCGGGCCGCGGAGTGAGGGTGTGGTGGAACCCGGGTGTGCGGTGCTGTGTAGCGGGGTAGTTAGGGTGTTTAGGGGTAGGTTGTGACCGGTGTAACAGGTACCGATTTCTCGGTGTAATTCGTCCGGGGGAATAGTGTAACAGACCGGGAAGAGGGAGAGTCGGAGAGACCCCAGCGCGGGTATAAAGGGGTGGTTGTGGTCTGGAACGGCATCCTTTTGTCGAACAGAGCCCTGTAACGAGCACCGCTCTGCGGGGAACTTTGTTGCCTCTTTGTTACCGTCTTGTGAGTCTGTGTTTCGGTCTGAGGAGACTGGCAACCGGCTTGGCTGCCCTGTAAACGCGAACAGTGCGTGCCAGACGGGGGGCTAACGCCCTGGCTGCTGGGGATTCACCGAAGGTCGGTTCTGTCTGACCGGGAGTAGGAGGTAAGTGAGGCTGTGTGTTTCACACATGACAAAGGGCAGGGTCAGTGCCTACCAAGGAGCTTTCTGAATGCAGAATGCAAGTTACTACATGTATTTGATGTTTGGCATCAAGTGGTTGTAAGTTGGGCTGCATTTGGTTATGTGTGCATAGAAACTATGTAGTAGGTGCTTACATGAAAGAATGCTGCATGTTTTTATGGTGAGAAGGTTCCTGGAAGGTTGCTGATTGCAGGGCTGGAGTGTGTGAGTGTCATACTGGTCCATCCCGGTCTGATTTGCTTGCACCGACAGATTTATGGCATGGAAGTTGGGCAGTTTGCATGTACATGTTCAAAACTGTAGTAAAGCTATATTTCTGTGGGATTTATTGTAAGCGGAAGGTTGGCTAAGGGCTGGCATGCCCTGATGTGAGTAGCTGGCCAATACCGGCACATAGTAGATGTGAATGAAGCTCTCTTTGAGTTAGCATCTCGTGTGTTCCGAGGGCAGCAGTTTTCTGCCCAGTTTTACACTAACCACCACTTAGTACTACTGCGAGTACGGTGGAAAGTGTACTGCTGCCTTTTATAGATCACGAACGCAGCCTATGCATGGGAGTACTGCGAAAACACGCTGCTGGCTTTGTTGGTCAAGCGCGTGGAGTACTACTGCTGCAAATGCTTTAAAATGACCGTCTTTACATCCTGATGTGACCAGCCCATCTTCACAAGATTCTCTGCGCCAATCTTCGAACATCTTCTTCATTTTGTGGCCATTATGAGGAAGGTGCAACAGCGCACAGATCGGCGGCAGATGGTTGATGACGTGGAGGCTACGTGGAGGACAGCGACCTATCGCACGGAGGCATGAAATTAGTCGCTCTGTCTTCCGTTGAGACCCCTTTTTGTTTCGGACACCGTAAACCCTAAAACCCACAGAAAGACGTAGGGACCAATATATTCTCAACGGCCCCATCAAGACGGACGAGGTACTGCGACGGCATATAGTGAGTGATCGATATTAACGTGTGACTTTGTACTTAAGGGGCTGGGCCCCCCAAGAGACACTCTGCTCCGCTGTCATCGGTTGCTGTGTACTCAGGCGCGCACGATTCCGTCAGGTGTTGCCACCCCTCAACCATGCCACTATTCATCAGCGCCGAGGTACAATTTTGGGACTGCAAGTTGGACAGACACGCTCGCCAAACTCGTCTCAACCGCCCGCAGGCAGCAAGCCGGGAGGCAAACTGATCGGACGACAAGCCAAAATGGAAAAACACGGAGGTCCAACAAAAACAGAGATAAGCACAAAGCTCAAACACAAAGATCCAATTCCCTTCTCCGAGGTTGCCAAGATCTAAGGATCTCGCCGAACTCAGAAGGGGAGATTCCAGCTGCGTCAAAAATCAAGGTCAGCACCAAGCTGAATAAATTCAACGATATTGGCGTCACCAGACTCAGAAAAAGATATTGTATCAACTGCACTAAGGTAAGCGTACACCCAACCACCAAGCTGGGTCGATCTCAGGCTGCATCACCCTGGTTTGTTGGGAATGTGCTGAGAACGTGCGCCTATTGGGAATGCATCACTCTCCCGGTCCGTTCCCTAATTTCCTGGTCTTTGTGGTGCTTTGATTTGGGTATTAAGAGCGTTCTGCTTTCGGGCATTTTAGATACTAAGCTCTAGGGTGCATCAAGTTGATCGCTCAGTCTTTTTGGTGAAACCAAGTTTTTCGCGAGCACTTGGTGGCATCTACCACAACGACTGTGCAATCAAATGGTTCTCTTAGCAGTGGGTGCCTGTAAGGCCTGTAAGGCTTGCAATACCACTGTCATCCGTGTTAGTGATCTGGACCCTTCATCCAAGGAGTGGGCCGAGAAGTCTTGAAAATTGTAAATATCACAAAGTAGTTTTGAAGTCCTTCTGGAAGCTGGAGCCAGGCCAAATGCGCATCTTGGGGCCAATCAGCTTCTGCACCTACTGATTGCTGCCAGGCTCCAACAAACCACTGAGAAGTTTCCAGTTGCTCCTGTGCAAGCAGTTGGGGCAAACTCCAGTGACAAAAGCACAAGTGGGTAAGGGGTGAGAGATGGGTCGGATCATTTTGATTAATGGCATCAGTACTTGATTTGCAGACAAAGTTTGCGAGCGTTTACAGAGCAGGTGGCTGCCAATGACCAACATGGTGGCAAACGACAGTTTGGCCCAATCTTGTGCCAGTAACGCCGTTCAGGAGGGCAACAGGTAGAGCCCAGCTGCACAAGATGGTAGACAGGCAAATACAGATCTTGAGATCAGTTGGTGGGGGATCAGAGCAGGCTCAGAAGCTCCAATTTAGACTTCAAAGCAATTGCAAGCAGTAAGGACGCAAGCACACCTAGCCAGCATTCTGCCTACAAAGGGACTTCAGACCGCGACCATGGTCGAATTCCCTTTCCAGTCCGCAGAAAACTATTGTGGCAATCCTCTGCCTCATAGCTTGGCACGTGCCAGCCAAACCCCACTGGCCCCTGCCGTGTCAGCTTTGAGACCTGCCCTAAGTTTACCCAAGAATCGAGTGGCAGCATTAAATGTGAGACACCATCACCAAATGTGGAACCAATTTGTAGCCGAAATAGAGGCCCCTCTGGCACAGATCCAAGACATTTTCTCCCCCCCCCCCCTTGCCAGAAGCAAAACTCCTGCATTCGCCCTTCCTGAAAAAAAAATCCCACAACCCAGTCTACAGCGGCCCCACAACATTCACGATGCCCTAACGGCACACTGATATCGAAGCCATATAGAATCTGCATCGAACTCCGTATTGAAATCGCAGTCTGAAAAAAGTGCACCTCAAATTGGGCCACAACCCACTACTGGGCCCCCTCCCCCCCCGACTTCTTTGCCCTGAACGTCTGGCGCAGCTCTTTGAACCTCGTGAAGCACTGTGCTTTGGACTTGCCGGGAACCGCTTCCGCGATCTTATCCCATCGGTCCTCCACCTCGCGGCCGATGGCCTTCAGCGCCTTCACCAAGGCCAGCTCCTGTGCCTCTGTCCACGCGCCCGATGTGGCCGAAACCACCGTCTTTGGGGCTTCGGCTCCTGCAAGGAAGCAACACACAGGGCGATCGCTAGAGGGGTGTTGCATCCATAGAACTGCATTCGTCAATCTGTGCAGTTTAAGCAACTGTAATGTGTATTCTAGCACCACCTGCAAGGAAGCAATGCACAGTGCGATCACCAGAGGCGCCTTGCATCCGCAGAACTGTATTCGTCACAATCTGTGCAATTCACCTAACTCTTACGTGTATTGTACCCAGCTGTAACTCAGTTTTGATGGAAACTAAGCATACTAAATGCAAACAAAATACAAGAATATCCAACAATATGTGAAGCTTGTTTCAATCACGTCAGTTCGCTGACCACAGTGGATCACTGTGCGCGAGCACCAGATTGCGGGAAATGTGGTTTGAACCCTTGATGGACTTGTGGCACTGCACTGGCACCTGCATTCACCTGCCCTTATATTCAGATTACCATGCTTATTGAATTTAACCAATCAACTTTCACTAAATTACTACTTGATTTTCCTGGGCTATTTGTGAAAGAGCCTCCTCTGTCCTGCCTTCTCAACGAAAACCAATCCAATGAATCACTAACACAGTGCCCAGTGCCACTGAGTGACTTCGCACCATTCGTGGATCCCGATGGGCCCTCCTGTGTCACCCCTTGTGCCTGGGCCTCTGCCCCTAATCTGTATGCCTGAGTGGGGCCGTCATTCCCGTCTGTGCCCCGCATCGACTTGCGCTGCGCGGCCTTCCAGTTTTCCTGGCCCTCCAGGCGCCGGATGCTGGCACCCTTCCTCTCCTTCACCATCGTGATCACCTCCTCAAGCGTGCGGGTCCTTATATATGCGGCCACCTGCTCCCATCTCTTCCTTGTGCCCTGTGAGCAGCAATCCAAAGCTTGGCTCACTGTGCATCCGTCTCACGCATTCGTAGGTTCCGAAGCACCATAATTGGCCTTAGTAAATGTGCAGGCAAAATAAATTTTACGTTGGTTGGGGGGCTCATTATTAACCCTGCACATCCACCTCTGGATATTCTGGCAAGTGAAAAGTGTGAGACTTTGCTACTTTTGAGTTTTTATGCCCTTACAAGGCATATGTGGTATTACCAAATGGTGCAAATTACCAACTCTTGCGCCAGATGTCCCCAGGAAATGCTGGCCGGGATGCCATCTTTGCATATGATGCAGAATGGTGTGTGCTTTGATGCACAACACCCTGAGGTAAAGACTGCCAGAATCTGCCTGTGCTGCATATCTTGACGGAATGGAATTTGGCCATGTTCATGCTGTCCACCACAGCTCTAGATCCCCCTTACAACCCAACTTCGAAGCTAAAGGCAGATTCAAACCAAGCTGACTTCCTGTCGCCCCTCCCACACATGTGTGGCCATGCTTTGTTCCTTGAATATTGCGCCAAATTTGTCAATTGAAGGGCTGCCAAGACCACTGCACTGCAACGCTTCTTGCCTTACCAAGAGCAGTGCAAGCTGCAGCAAGTTCACAATACTACAGCGAATGTAGTTAGGGAGGGCCCTAAAGTTGGAAAATCGTAAATTGTACGGACTCGCAATTCTACAGTCACAACTAAGAAAGCCACCTGTGGGAACTTTTTGACTGCCTTGTCCAGCATTCGCAGCTCCTCTTCACTCCATTCCTTCATTTGCTGCTTCTTCTTTGCGGCTTCCTGCTGCCTGGCCTCCTCCATTGCCTTTGCTGTGGCCTCTAGCCTTGCCTCCTTCTGTCGCGCAGCCTCTTCCTTTTCCTGCCTCACCACTTCCAGAGCATCCTACGAAATTGTCCATTTAAACTGAATCAGATTGAGTTGAACAGATTGGTGAAAATGGAGTTCAATGTGGTAGGTCCATTGTTGACCATTTGTGCTCAAATACAGGCACACAGCATACTGCACGAGCCATAAACTTACAGGGCATCTTGTGGAAATGATCAAGCAAATGCCACCAGCCAGTATGTCCTTCAGTAAAAACTAAGGTATCCACCGCAAAAGTACATAAAATGTCAGTAATTCAACACTGGCAGATGGTTGATTGAGTACACCACTGGCGGCAATCTGTTTGCACATGTCTGCCAATATGACAGCTGCTGCAGTTGTGTCTGCAAGGCGATGGCAAGCATGCTTCCAGCAGCACTGCTTGTTCAAGAACGCTGCTTTGTGCTTCCAGAATCGAGAATCGACAAGATCCGTAAAGGAAAGTGAAGCCCAAATCCAATGCAAGTATGAGCCCAACAGCCTCCTGAAAGAGAAAGGCAACAAAATTGACATGCCACTGGCACAGCGCCCAGCAATGCAAGCAGCAGCCACTTTGATCTTTGCTACCTCCTTGCATGTTGCTTGTCTGTGCAGTATTGCATGATACAGTACAGCACGGCCAAAGCATTTGCTTCATATCACATCAATCCATAACACTACTCCATACACCACACTTCACTCCAATACAACAACAGATGGCATATCTGCAAAACTGCTGGCCAGCACCACAGAAGGTAAAGTCAAACGAAATTCGAATCTCCTTCAGGCAGCGTGCCCTTCACCTGCAGGGCCTGGCTCCGTCTGCTTGTGTCAGTGCCTGCTGCCTCGATGGCGTCACACAACGCCTCCAACTTTTCCCTTGGCAAACTGGAGCACAGAGAGTCGATGTCATCGTCCTCAAATCGGCCTGCATCGCACCCTGATTGAACAACCTGTTAATGCCACAGTTGTTGCTAACATCGCCCTCTGCTTTGCTGTGAGCACACAAACCCCACGCCATAGTCATACTGCCAAGATGCAGCTTCAGCAACACAGCGACAGTGCTCATTGACGGTCTGGGTTGCAAAATGCTGAGAGAATTGCACCTGCCATCGAATTGCAGGTGCAAGGGAATTGTATGTCTAATTTTCTGACAATAGTCCTGAAATGCTAAGACAGATAACAACACCCACAATCACCACTGCTAGACATAACAACAATGATAGTTATTGCCATACATCACAATCATTCCCTCGCCCTCACAATAGTGGTAATAACAATAGCAACAATCAAACAAAGATATGTTCTTGGTGAATTCTATCGAACTGACTCCTTGTTTGTCCCATTTCGACGGTTAATACACTCGCTGAGTTGCCTGAAGTGTGACAGGAGGTGTGTCCTCAATTGCTGCAGCAACATACCAAGTTCTGCTGCACATTTGCCCAAGCGCAAAAGCTAAAAGCTGGTCTAGGCTTTTGCTGAGAGGAAATCATGCAACACATATCACTTGGCCAGGGCGGTCTACAGGTTACTCAGAATGCTTGAAATACTACCGCAGGCAGAGAAGCACATCAACAGCACACGCTTGCACATATATGTCACATGCTTCCTGGCAGCAAACTATAAGAAGTGCAAACAATGCCTTGCAAGCTCCCTCTGCAAGCAAGTTGTTCTCACATGTGCAAACATCCAGTCCACAGAATTTTTTGGGGATGGATGCACTATTTTACTGTGCATACCTTCTAGCATTGATACCTCATGTCAAAACAACCATGTGAGCAATGGCTGCCAATATATCTAGTGGAGAACATCTCAAGTGGAGAACCATTTCACCTGCAGTTTGCTGCTGCGATTGTTCCTTCTCTCCTCTCCTGTAACAGAAGGGTGATTGTAACAAACCAGCCAACCAATCAGCTCAGCAATTAATGTGCGAAAACAACTCAAAATTATACCTTCAAAATTCTCCCACAGCTCTCGCAACCGCGCCTGCTGCTTCTTTGCAGCTGCCTTCTCAGCTGCCTTTTTCCGTCGGGCCTCTGCAGCGGCCCTCTCTGCCTCCTCCTCTGCAGCCCTCCTCTCCGCTTCCTCCCGTTCTCTCTTCTCGCGCTCCTTAGCCTCAGCCTCTTCGCGAGCCCTCTGCTTTTCACGTTTGCGTTGCTTCCTATAAAAACCAGTTGCCACACTCTCTGAACATTGCGCTGTGCTGAAGCACTGTACAATACTGTGCGCTGTACCACACAGCACTGTGACTCACTACAGATGTACGTGATGAAAACAGGCACAAACACAGGGCCAAAACTGCATGATCTGGTCCCTGCTAAAAATGTCAACACTACGAAATAGGTGAACAGCAGAAACATTCGAAGCCAAAAAAGCAAGCCTAAGCCTCTTAATAGGACTCAAAATATTCTAAAGTTGCCGCACAGTGCAAATCACGTGTACAGTGTTGCAAACTTCACACGCTACTTGATTTTCAAAACCTTAACACCATTTTGTGGTCTGGGCCAAGTGTGGCACAATCGATTCGCAACAACTCCCTAACCTTCAATGCACGCCAGTAACCAACACAGCGCAGTACTGCTGCGCTCTACAGCATGGTACGGTACTGCTGCACTTTTATTGAAATCGCCACTATTATGGATGTGCTGTACTGCTGTACTGCTATGTGTGTATGTATACTACTACGCAACTATGCAGCAACACTGAACTGCACAGATATCCCTGCTTCTCTACCACACTGTGTGCTTCTACATGTGTCCATCTTTGCAATGCTGCGTTTGCCTGCTTTCGCAAAGTACAGTAACCATGGAAGATTTTCCAGTGCAGGTGTTGCAGTGCTGCCACCAGGTATGCACACAAGAGTGTTGTCAAATATGTCCATCAGCACATGTTCTGGACTCAGTGCTATGATTTAATTTAACAAGGTGATTTTCGGACAAACTGAACTATCACCAGTAAATTAGGCCTCATGAGAAAATCTCATTATCTCATTGGACTTCATGAGAAATCCCATCTCATTCAGGCAGTCTGCCACCTTCATGCATTCCCATGCACTCAGAGAGGGCACATCATTCTCTCGATTCTCTGCAGCACTTCAGGCAGCTGCTTCCAGGCACCACTCGAAAGCTGAACTCCAAGCTATGGGTGTGTGGGCAATTCTATCACGTAGTGCTCAAGCCAAGTGATACATTGTAACCAAACCAGCCACCCTGCTGAGACGTTTACATATTGACTCTCATGCCAGCAGAAGACAGAGCCACAAGGCATCTTAATAATAACAATAAATCACTTTGAATTAACAAACAGCAATCTCTTGCAATATTTGTAGTAACAACAATCAATAAGCTCATCACTTATTAGCAGCAATCTCTTTCAAACTACAATTACTTGAAGTGGTTTTCTTTCAGTGCTCAGCCTCTGTGCAATCCGACAGCAGAAGAATGCCTGTGGCGCACCTCTCTTGCTTCACTTCCTCTTTGTGTCTCACCACCCTGGGGTCGATCCTGTATGCGTTCTCCACCAGTTCTCTCAGTCGCTTTACCTCTTCTTTCTTCCCCTTTTCTCTCAGCTTCGAATTCTGTCTGCACAAAAGGCATGCTGAGTACAAACGACACGTTGCTGTACACCGCAGGAGGAAGGCTTGTTTTGGTCACCACAACCACAAATGGATATAAAACTGGCCTAGCAATTTCAGTGCCATGATGGGCACTGTTGGTAGCCACACTACATTTTCTATGTGTGCGCGTTGGCATACAGTCGCACTGGAAAGACACTATTGGATGCATACATGCCTACCATCGCCTACAAGGTGCAAGGCCAGTGATCTGTCTTGTTGAAGGCATTTCAAAAGGATACCAGCAGTGGCTTCCCAGCACATTTCAAACTCAACCTCAAAATCAGCACAGCCAAAGCCTGGATTAGGGTTTGAGCACATTGTTTCTTGTAGAACGATGCTTGTGATGTAATCCAATTGACATTTGATGTGCCACCATTGGGTGGACATCAATAAGGTGGGCACGGTCAACACAGTCTGTGCAGGTGCACAACTTCCACTTGCCAAAATCCAGAGGCGCCAAGGAGTCTTCAGATTCAAGACAATGATGCATTCGCTGTCAAGAGCTGAAACCAACTACCGCATCTGATATCAGGGGAGAATCTGTGGACAGATACCCAAAATAGACTTTGCATGTGATTCCATATTCTGGAAATCAAAGATTGTGTACTCTCAGGATCCGAATGTTTTGTTTGTAGACAGCTCCAAATAACAAGGTTGCCCTGACAATTCCTAGAGCACTTGCCAATGATGGCAATCCTGGTTCATGATCAGGACACTCAGGTTGACAGGGTTGTCTGAACTTACAACACACCTCTCTATCCACCTCCTCTCCTCTCGGTTCTCTGCCTGTGAGATGTCCTCTTCATCAGGGTGCGGGAATTCCCTCCATGACTTGAAACTGTACCAGAAGTCATAAAATGCCTCGATCTCTGCCCATGGCGAGTATTCATCCCCGACATCTGGTACTGGCTGCTCCACAGACCAGCGACAGTTTCTTCTGAAGGCCGGCCCAAACACCTGCAGCAGCGCTGCCATTTTATTTCTGTTCTTCTTTCGTTCCTAGTTCTAATTTCATATTTAACACGTGAACGCAACAATCCTAATACCTGCAATACAACTGCACTTTTAAATCTATTCTCCTCTTACTGCTATGTTTACTTTCAACTTACTACAATCCTGCAATGGATTTGTGACTTGTAGGTGCATCATTCCAAACACCTGTTCCCATTCTTATTACAGATTCATTTGTCAGCTCAATGAATGTTTAATTTTTCTTGTATTGAAAATTTCTTCGACCATTTCAACACAAGATTACTCATGCCGGAAGGTGTTTGTACCACAGCATAACTGTGTGTTTCCACATATTCAGAGTCTGAGTTGGCACATGCCAAAATGGGTGTGGAAGAACTTCACATCGTCTTCTTTCGAAGCCAAACGTGGATCCACTTCGTCCATCAAGGGCGATTCGCAAGAAAACCTAGCTGAAAGCTTTCTGTGATTCTTGGCATCGCGCAATGTGACTGTACATGAGGGGTTTCACTCCCTCATGAAACCCCGTACACTGTTGTTCATTCATCAGCATGCTTCATTGTGATGTCGCTGAAGGTCAGGCACATCCCCTGGCAGGTAAGGGGTTAGAAGATGCATGGATGTGTGGGGGTTGGATGGGGTGGGGGCTGGGATTGGGAGTGCGAGGGGAGGGCAAGGAACACAAAATCCAAATTGGCCCACAGAGCCTTGAATCGCTGAGGTATCAAACCTGTGTTTCCCAACACACAGCACCACTCAACATGGGGAGACCGAACTGGGCCCCTGCTTGTGCAGTGTGTCTTTTAGTTCGATGCGCAGCTGAGCCACTAACATGATGCAAAGTATGGCCACCATGCAACCCCAGGCGCAACACCAGGAAGGTCAAATCAATCGCTGCAAAAACAGAAACAGGGATTGAAACAAGGAACAGAAAGGAAGCAAGCACAGGAACTGAAAACAGAAAGGAAACTGTAGAAATAGAACACTACAGTGATTCCAATCGAAGAAAGGGGCCAGTCCCCACCTTGAAGAAGTCGTCTGGATCGCAATCAGTTGGCATGGTGTCATCGAAGTTGTCCATCGAGTCATACTCCCGCCGCAGCTTGGCATTTGACAGTGTCTCATAAGCGTCCTGGATCGCCTTGAACTTTTCCTCCAACTTCTTCTTTGTGGCCTCATCCTCTGTCGCCACCTTGTCCGGGTGCATGACAAGTGCCACCTTGCGGTACGCTGCCCACACCGACCCATCCGTGCACAACTTGAATTGAACAAAAATGTTGGACCTTTACTGTGCATGCTGACCCCAACATCTTGCAAAGTTTGACTTGCTCTTGTTTTGCAATGCACCACAAGAGGTGAACCTTCTACTACGTTAGCTTCTACTGCTAAGGATGGATACGATTCCAAATGTTGAGCTTCTCTGTAATGCCTTTGCCCCACATGCACAAATGTACTTCTGAAGTACCACCATAGCAGTGCCAAAACACCAGCAAAGTTCTCCACTACTAGAATGCTGCACACATGCACAGCTGCCTGTGTCCACAAACTACAGGACCCGAGGTACACGTTCACATCTTCCCAAATTTCACATATCCACGTTCCACCAGTTTGGCACACACACTTGGGAGGGCTGGCATACCTTGTTAGCATAGAGTGTGGGTACTGAAGTCAGACTTCAAGGGCCATGGATTGCATCCATGGCTGATTGGCCAGTTGATTGATTACTTGATTGACGGTATAGTTAAGTCCAGCCAGACACGCTGGAGGATTATGGGTAAGGCTCCCTTTTATTGTTCTTGATAGAACTACTGGCAGCTGCAACACTACAGAGCATCATATTCTGCCCTACACTCAGACTCCAGATGCACGTGCGATCCATGCTTGAGGCCTTCAGCTTGGGTGCCTGCCAACAAGCCTGTGGACGGCTCACCCTTAGTTATCTGCTGCTCTGTCGCCATCCACCTCTCATGCTGCAGACCCAACAGCGCATACAGGTCCACCTCTGTAGGCTTCTTCACATCCCTCTTCTTCTTCTTAGCCTTCTTCCAGTGCGTACTGCAAGCAACAAGGCAGAACCAGGACTCTGAAGAGGCCTTTCGAATTTCCATCGGCTGAATTGTGGTTTTCAAGGACAAGTTCCTTGTTCTGTACTGCAGGACCTGGGGTCGCTCTCAAGGCTATGAATTGGGCCAGGACGTACCCTACTATTGCTTCACCAGTCATATTCATGCAGGTCTGAATACCACGCAATGAGCAACTTTACCTACCCATGACTGGCGGAGGCCAACCCTCTGTAGGTCGCCTTGTCTCTGTTGAAGATGCATTCATTCACTATTGGATGGCGCTTTCGGCGAATGCAACACTTCTTGCTTTTTCAAATCAAGTGAAAATAACAGAGGATCGAATCAAGAAAACGACACATCAATGCAAAGAATGTCAGCATACCCTGCCACCAAAGGAAACACTGTTTCAATGGCCAATCCGCTGAAACAGAAGCCCTGGAGGGAAAAAGAGGCCATCCGCCTTATTTGGCGTGCTATGCCCATTCTCACTGTGTCAAGATCATGCATTTTGCACCATCTCCTTCTCCTTGCAGCCATGGAAAACCTCCTACAACCAGAAAGTGCAGCACACAGTATTCTTCTGCACAGGTTTCTCATCAGTGGCATTCATTCGATACATCGTGCTTGCATGGGCTCACCCTGCTGGTGGCTCATCTGGTGCGTGGGCCCGCTCTCCGCCATCCTCCTCACCAACCTCCTCCTTCACATCGGCTTCTTCGGACTCTTCTTCCTCCCCCTCATAAGGATCTGCGGCAGCCCAACAGCACGCGACAAATCCCGAAGTCAGCCCGCAGACGTCCACAGCGCGCCGCCGATGCTTGCACAACCATTTTCCAACTTCTCCTCCTTTCCCTACTGGCGCCGGTGTTGTTGGGAATCTACTAGCAACCGCCGTCAGACAACAGGAGATTGTCTTTTCGACAGAAAAGAGACATGCCCCGCACAGCAGTCCCCGCTTCTGGCCGAGAAGCGGTCCAAGGCTCTCTTCTGCTCAGCACAAGCTTGCCCCGAAGTCTCCCAGAGCAATTTTTTTTTTGAGGGGGGTCTGCGGCAGAAAGAACCGCATACAGCACGAACCCAGCCAGCCAGCCACCTTTGGCGTCGATCAATGCGCAGCGCAACAACAGACCCAATGGCACCCGCCACAGCAACAACTCAGCCTCCCCACTGCCCATCTGACACCAAGTTTCCACGTGGAATCCCCGGCGCTGCAAAGCCCACACTCACAGTCGCGCCCAAGCCTACCGGGATCCAATCAATTCCTTCTCTCCACTCTCCGCGACTGCGCCAATTCGTCGCAACATCTCCCCCAGGTCGCGCGCGGCACGATTTCTCCCCCCCGCCCCCCACCACCACGCGTTGCTTGTGCTGTTTGCTCATCATCTCGCACCAGAAGCTCTACACCACCTCACACCATAGAAAGGAGTCTCGCAACGCACTTCCTCAGGAGGGGCCGCCCTTCGCACGATCCGTTTCTCTTTCTCTTTGTAACAAGTCTTTGGGCCCTTCCTAGCTTCTTGTGTTGCTTGCTTTTGTGAGCTCATCATTTAGCACCAGAAAACTCCACCAAAACTTCTCACAGCATGCACAAGTTTCTCGCGCACGGTGGCTCAGGAGGGGTGCCCTTCGCAGGACCCCTTTCTCTTTCCCTTTGTAACAAATCTTGCCCCCAACTCACCGATCACTCCCCTTTGAATCAGCGCCAGGCGATGAAACTCCTCCCCGGCCGCCTCCTTGCTGGGCGCCTTCACCAAGCCCGCCGTCGAGCACACCACCGCGATGCCGCCCTCGGGGATCAGCTCGGGGCGGCACTCGAGAAGGAGGCGGGGAGGGGGGCGGCCGGCGGCCATGGCGGGTGCGCAGGGGGAAGCCAGAATCGATCTGTGGGGGGCGTGGGGCGGGCTTTTTAAACATGGGAGTTGGTGCTCAGTCAGTCTTGCAATGCTACGGGTGCCGGCAATTTCGTCGTGTTCGCGCAGCTGCATAATGACCACCGTTTCCCTGGGTGAGTCACTTATGATTCAGCTGGCGAGGGACTCATGTCTGACACGCATGCTGACTGTGTGGGGTGGCCCGAGTATGCCACCACCGTTTAGAAAGAGAAAAAAGACAGAAACAAAAACAAAACTGGTCAGGAGCTTGCATTTTTGATGATATAGCAAGCTGGTCATAGAAGTTGAGAGGAGTTCTGCCTCAAGGGGCGCTTGGTGACGACTGAGCGACACCCTACACTGCAAGAGTATTCCCGTGAAAGTTGCCTCACCAGTATTGACCGTGGCTCTCAATACCTGGTGGGGTTATGTGTCCTGAATAAGGATACCGCCCAGTTTGGGTGTGTGTCCAGCCTCAAAGCCGAATGCGCAAGGCTAAGAGGTTGCTGGCCTGAAGAAGGCTAGAAAGAAACCACGCACGACCTAAAGTGTGGGCCCACACCTGATGGTTCTTTCCAGGGTGGACTACCCCATGCAAGGGCTGCATGTGCTTACTTGTTCATCCATCACCCACAACTGAAATATTGTTGTGGGGAAAATATACGTGCTGGCTGTACCGCCCGCCGTTTCATCACATCACTTCGGTCCAGACTCGATCCCGTATGCTGATGTCTCTTTCCAGCTATGGGTAGAGTCTGATCTAACGGTTACAGGGCAGTGTTCTGGGCCGTATTGTTCAGAAGTTTGGGCCCTAAGAAACATGCTGGGATGTGTCCTTCCTCAGCATGGGGCTGTGTTGGTGTCTTGCACAGCCAGCCTGCTCTTTGGTGGTCCCAGGCGCTGGGATTATTCTGGTGATCTGAATGTCGCTGAAAAAGTGACAAGACCAGAAAAATGTGGGAAAGTCACTGAGCATGTGACAAAGATAAGGAAAGACTCCTGAACAAGGAGTTTTGGATCGATCAGAGCGCCCCTGATTGGGCTGGCTGTGCATGAGAGGGTGCCCTTGTGGCTGATGATTCTTTCCAGCCATGGGGCCACTCAAGTGTATGTCTATGGGGCTGTGCCCCCAACCGCTCGATTTACAGGCATGTGCCTCAAGGAACATGCTGGGATGTCTCTTTCCCCAGCATGGCACTGAGCTGATGCTACTTTCCAGCTCGTGCATCCTTTTGGTGGGCATGACCTGATGCAAAGTGTACTTGCCACTGGAGAAGTGGCTGGGAGTTTATTTGCCACTGCAAAAGTGGCGCTGTCAATGGAAATGGACAGCTTTGTTTGCTGAATATCACTGAATAAGTGGTATTAACTGGCTTCCACTCAAAAGGTGGTACAACCATTGGAATTTGATAAGATTGGTTTGTGTATACCACCGAAAAAGTGGTTGTCTCTGGCTGCCACTGGAAAGGTGGTGTTGCCCTTGATATTGGGCAGGATTGATCGAAGTTCACCACTGAAAAAGTGGTGCTGCTCCTGAAAAAGGAGCTGTGAGCTTGTGAAGAACTCCAGGATCAGTTTCTGAATAAGAAACTGAAGTTCAGAACCTGTTTGTGGAAACATGCTGAAAAAGTATGTGTGTCACTTGATTACTATAGGTGCACGATTGATCCCTGAAAAAGGGATGTGTACAAACATTCAGCAGCTCCTGAAAAAGGAGCTTTGTGATTGCGAAATGGTGTAGGGACAGTTTCTTGAGAAGAAACTGAATTCCCTGAATTGATTTGGAAGTTGGTTTGATGCAAAACATGCTGAAAAAGCATGTATTGCATTTGCTTGGAAATGGTGCACAATGGGTCCCTGAAAAAGGGGCTCGCACACTGCCAAACAGCTCCTGAAGAAGGAGCTGATTCATTTTGTCAAAACGTATACCTAGGCACAGCACTGGAAAAGTGCTGTAGTCTAGAGTTATTGTATTTTATTGCGGGGGTTAGTACTTGGTGTATTCAGCGTCCTGGTGTGCCGTATGGGTGACCGGCGGGGGAGTGACTAGACGCCAGTCGCATCGGCGCGAGGCGCAGCCCCGTGGGCGTGCCGAGGGCTCCCTCCCTCGCTCGAAGGAGGCCTGCGAGCTCGGCAGAGTGTGCAGCAGTTGACGGAGAGGGTCATGTGGATGGCGCAAGCAGTGGCGAATGCTGTGCTGCGCCATCTGTGCGGTGGGAGTGGCGGATGTGCGGCGAGCTTGGAGGCGGCCATGGAGGCCGCGGGGTTGGCATTGCATGGCCTGGATGGCCGTGTTTGGGAGGCGCAGCCGCGAGGCATCTTGGCCGCCAGTGGACCATGCCTTCATCCACGCCATGCTGCCACCGGAGAGGCGAAGCGGCGAGGCGAGTAGGGCGGGCTCGATGGCGCGAAATGGCAAATGGCGCCGAGGTCGGTGGTGATGGGAGCGCGTTTTTTGGCATGGACATGGGGCACGAAGGGCTGAAGAGTAGCGGTGCAGTTGTGGAGAGCGGGGACGGGCTGATGGTGGAAGCCCGCGGTGATGCGGCGGGTGAAGCAGCAAGCTTGTGGCGATGGAGAGGAGGCCAGCGGGGTTGGAGAGGCCACCGCGGCCGGCGCGATCGGTTCGGGATGTGCGGAGGTGGAGGGGCTCTCCGTGAAGGAGGTGCCCGGCGGGTTCTGGGCTGGCGCGGCAGCCGGCGAGCGAGTGTTGAGTGGGGAGTAGCGCAGGCGCGGGGGGCAGGAGCCGGAATGCGCCCCGGGGGAAGTGGGGGTGATCTGGTAGAGTACGGCAAGCACATTGTCACGTGGGCAGGGGGAAAGGGACTGAGAGGTGATAATGTACTTTAAATATTTGGGCCAAAGGGCCAGTGGGTTTGGCGGGAGGCTGGGCAGCCATACGTGGGGGGCCAGTGGCCGTTTGATGGCGAATGTGAGTGGCTGGAATTAGCTTGCTATGAACGGAAATGCGGCGGCAGCGTACATTGCTCTGCAATTGCTTTGCTTGCACGTGGTGTGGGGCCGAGGGGCCGGACTACCTGGTGTGTAAGCCCCAACGAGGGCGGTTGGAGTGACCTGTGCCTGGCTACGTGACTGCTGCGCATGTGACGTGACAGGGCGATCGCCAACCAACAAGCGGAAGTGTTGTGTGGAGCGTCAGTGAGTTGTACTATACTGTGGGATCACCAGGGGCTGGGAACTTGTTGTGGGGGCCTCTCTGGCTGGTGGGGTGACTGCATTGCACTGAAACTGGGGGTGTGGAAAAGGGAGGGTGTGTGAAAGGGGGGGCTGCTGCTTCTCACTTGCTGCTTTCCCTTGCCAAAGTTGAAGTGTAGATTTGCAGTGTCTAGGCCCTGATGTTGTGAACATCAGCCATCTGTTTTCTAAATTTTGATGTCCAGCACACTAGGGCCACAAACTTGCTAGTGGTACCTCACTAATTGAGTATACAGTGAACGAAATCTAGTAGCAAGTACATTGAACCTGCCAGCCTGGCCATTAAACATGGCCCCCTCTGTCCGTCCACAATAGAATTTGGTTGGCTCTGTAAAAATTCTGTACAATCAACAGAATTTGTGAGCAGGCCACAGAGAGAAAAAGTGTTTTATAAAAATGGGCGGGGCTATGCTGTTAGAATCTGTGCCACAACCGATGGATGACAAGCTCCTATAACAGAACTATTGACCAAGCCACAGAATTGGACAGAATTCCATCAAAGTTCACGGAGCAAGTACGGACGCCTGTATGAAGTACAAAATGCAATGTGCTTTGGCAAAGGTGATAGACAACAGCTGCAGAGTGGGTCTCGTTCTTGGACCGGACGGTCAAACGCCTCGTATATAGTAGGTTGTGTCAATAAATATAGTCCAGCGTTGGCAAGGGATGGCCGGGAAAGAGCAGCGGGTTGTGTCCCCAGTCTGGCAAGGAGTGCCGGCCGAGGCAGCATTTATGATGGCATGGGCTGCAAATAGGTGGACATGCGTTGTTTATACATGTATTAATGTTGCACCTCGTTATATCATTGTTGTGGCCTGTATATACAGGCAAAGGTTGTTGGATACAGAAAAAAATGTGCTCGGAAAAAGTTGCCTCCGATAGAAACCGCCGCTGACCAACAGAACACTACCGGAATCTCCAAGTTCCTAATAGATGGCAATAGAACGCAAGGAAAGGCAATTGTTACGCACATCGGCCTGATGTGGGGGACGCCCTACTAATGGCCCTTGGTGTGGGGGACGCCCTGCCCAAGATACGTTACTATTCCTTGTCCTCGGTAATCATTATACCTATTAGGATACGGGAGTAAGAGGGGTGGTCCCGCCTAGGTCCGCGTAAGGACCTAGGTGCCCGGCGAGGTGGGTCCGCGGTTCAAAGAGGGCAGGAACCCCACACCCACAACCTTGACGTATCATTTGGTTTCAGAGCCACCTGGGGGTGGCTACCACATCTTCGCCTGGGCGCGAGGGCGAGCGCAAAGGACGGGGCCCTAGAGGTGGCCCCCTCTGTCATCCACAACAGAATTTGGTTGGCCCCGTTAAAATTCCGTATAGTCAACAGAATCTGTGAGCCGGCCACAGAGAGAAGAAGTGTATAACAAAAACAGGTGGGGCTATCTTGATTTCAGCATATACAGCAACAGAAATCCACACAACCTTCTAGAATAGAACCACGTGTTATAGAATCTGCGCCGCAGCCTACGGGTGACAAGGCCCCCATAATAGAACTGCTGACCAGACCACAGACGTCAACAGAATTCCATCAACGTTGACGGAGCAACACAGACATTTCAAACACGTTGAACCCTAGTACAGAAACTCCATATACATGGCGGACGTGGGGTGCAATTGCCTGGGTCTTTGATAGATTCGGCAGTGCACACTGCTTGCCCCCGTGGCACATCCATGTGCCCCTTCAAATCATTGTTGTCCGTCACGCAGGCGTAATGTACGCCCAAAGCGCTCCCAAACCCAGTACATTCG